AGGAAAGATTTAGAGTAAAACCTGGGTATCAAGAAGTATTATCCGTTCAGCAGAAACTCTCAGTTCAATGCCAACTGTACAATGCTTTGCCATTGCTCTGGTCTCTTCTGATTGTATAGAAAAAGGTGGGAGCATCCCTGTAAAATAGGAGACCAGATTTATGTTTTGCGTATAATCATGCTCATAAGAAATATCTGCCTTTCAATAGAAATTTGGTAAAAAGAAGGTGAAATTTTACCTTATTACCCAGCATGCAATGGTAGTCTTGAATTTTTTTTTTTTTAAATTTAATTTGTACATGCAATGATGGATTATACAACAAGGGGTTGTCCTCCCTTTTCCCAAACCCCTCCCTACCCAGGGAGGGAGCTAGGAAATTTTGTTGGGAGGGGGTGGAAGATTTCTTCTTAATGACTTTGGTGATCAAGAAATTATAAAGACACTAGCTCATTTGTTATGAATTTTTTAAAATTATCTTAAAAAATTCCCCGTGACTGTTTTCTCCATTGAAATGTTCTCATCAAAAATAAAAACTGAATACATTTATTGAAACAAGAAAACAAAAACATTACAGTAGCAAATTTCTTTTTTTTTTTTTTTTTAAATGAATCCTTTATTAAAACAAGAAAGAATTTCTCACTTTGATAATACCTGAATGATTGATCAATTAATTAAAACAATTTCAAAAACTTAAACAATAGGAGAAAGGAACATGTGATCATGTACAGTACTTGACAAATGATAATCCAAATCATTGACTAATTGAAGACTCAAACCTTCTTATCAACCCAAATTATGATAGGCAACACAACCCAGAGCTAGATAAAGCTTCAAATTACTAAACAAAATACTAATTAAGATAATAGATAGAATACTAAAAAAATTTTATACTGAAAACTGTTAAATAGAGAATCAAAGCTTTTCTTGTGCTTAATTTTGGAGGAAATGTTTTGAACCACATTCCTAAATAATTACATATATATATGATCTTAGAGTTTATTAGCCAAAACTCTAAAAAACTAGGAAGAAAAACACCCAAAACTACATCTACAAAAAATAAAAAACCACAGGAAAAGACCAAAATAGTCTCATTCTTGCTTTAAAAATAGGTTATTTTAGTCTTTTTCAATAAAAGTTTACTGATACAGTGTAGTTTTGAAGGATTTCTCCTCCTAATATTTAGAGGGAGTTAGGATCAACTTACAAACATCTCTTACACACATTGCTTACACAATATTTTGACAAGTCATCTCTCCACTATGAATTAAGATTATCACAACTTTTTAGATGAAAAAGATAATTATCTTCGAAAAATATGATAAAAAGTGGATACATCTTACCAATTCATAGTGGAAAGATATATGATCAACATTTTGTGTATGTGATGTGTCTAAGTTGTTCCTAACTATATATATAGGGAAAAGTGTTTATAAATTGAACCTCTAAAAAATTAGGAGGAAAAACACATCAAAAACTATATATATAAATATATATATATAATAAAAACTATAGATATATGTAATTCATTTTTATTTTCATCACAATGCTTATCTTTTCAAAAACCTTTTATTTATGTCCAAAATGTTTTCTTCATATTTCAACTTAAAAAAAAAAAAATTTGCAATAAATAAAATTTGAAGGAGGGGTAGCCACCCCTCTTGTTCAATACTAGTTTCGTCTTTGTCCCCACCTACCCCAACCTAAGACTTTCAACATGTAAACTCAAGCTCTTAACCACTGGACAGCAGTCTAAAACTTTTATTTCATGACTCTACTCCCTTAAATTGTTGATTTGATATAATCTAGTAATGGTGCATTCCCTACATGCATTCTCTTCTAGCATTAGAAGTTTTCCTGTCTTTTATCAAATTAGTAAAGGAGATAGACTATCTACGAATGCAATAGAGTCTAGTTGAAAAAAAATGAAAGTTTCTTTTTCATATCCACTCTATATAATATTGTCAGAACAAAAGCATCAAAAGATCTTGTTGTGCTCTGGAATTAAAGAAAGATAAGATATTGAAAAAGGTTGTAACTTGAAATAAATGTTTCCCTTTAAAGAAATAGAATATTAATTGACTCCTATGGAACATTAAGGAACAAGAAGTGATGCAGGAGCATAAAGTGTTTTTTTAATTATTTGTTTTAGTTTGAGATTTATTTGAAGTCTAAGTTTTAATTTTAGGGAAGTCATGTGGATAGCATGTGATTTCTGATTAGGAATAGAATTAGTAGGTTGTTAGAAGTTCAAATTAGTATTGAATTAGGATTCTCGGCTACTGTTAGTACATAGAGTTATCTTTAGATCTCTAAATCAGTTTCTTTTTATGAAATTTTAGTTTGAGAATAAACTTGAGGTTGAAATCTAAGTTTTCTTGGTTCCATCTTTAATTTTATGGAGTTCTTAGTTTCTGTTTGTTCTACCCCTACCTTCCCTGCATCAAATTGGTATCAGAGCTATGGCTGGTCGTGGCAGAGGAAATAAAGGCCAACAAGCAGAATTAACTGAGATGCGATGTATGATTGAGGACTTGTCACAAGCTGTGCAAGCTTTACAGCGACCGAACCCTTGGGAGCCCATATGGAGATGCCGGAGGGGTGACCCTGCAGACACACTGGAAGGCAGTCTGGAGGCTGAGACCGTGGATGGAAGGGATGAGAACCCTTTTCATGAAGCTGGAACCACAAATCAAGCGGTAAGAGGTGGATTGGAAGAGTGGTTGATACATGCCCTTGATTTGTTTGAAGAGGAAGGAGGTGACATATTAGAACCAGTTTATGATGTTTATTGTGATGAAATTGAAGAAGTGGACATTCTTTCAATTCAGGAAGAATCTTTAATGATTCAAGGAATGATAGTGATAACTAAAGAAGAAGGACAAGATTGGAGGAGTCATTCTTTAAGGGAAAACAATCAAGAAAAAAAATCTCTAGCTGACAGCAAGATAATTGGTTACGCATTTGCTGAGAAATTTGAAGCTAAAAGTCAAGAGGCAGGAGTCATATATGCTGCTCTAAATAAGCCGTTGGGAGAAGAACAAAAAGGAGAAAATTCTATGCAACCTAATGAAAATCTCCAGCTATTAGAAGAGATTAAAGGGTCAGAAAATAAGGAATTACAAGAAGGGATGCTGCCAATGTTGAATATTCAACATGACTTTGATTTTAGTCCAACAGCGAGTTTAACTAATCTGCCTACCAGCAAGTTTGAATTATACAACAAAATGGCAGACTTCTTTCTTTGTTCTAAAATTTCAGATGCCACAAAAGTTGTTGATTTATTTTTGGAAGAAGTGGTGAGATTAGAACATATTCCAACATCCATTGTTCGTTATAGGGGTGTAAAGTTTAAGGGACATTTTTGGAGGACTTCATGGAAGAAAACTGTTCCAGATAAATACACATTTGACAGCACCTGGATTGCAGTGGGAAAATTCAGAAAAATTGGTCCAGATAAACATGTTGAAGCTGGCAAGTCTTTCAATTTGAACCAACTAAAATTTCCAGCCCGGGGAGAATGATGCAGGAGCGTAAAGTGTTTTTTTAATTATTTGTTTTAGTTTGAGTGTTATTTGGAGTCTAAGTTTTAATTTTAGGGAAGTCATGTGGATAGCTTGTGATTTCTGATTAGGACTAGAATTAGTAGGTCATTAGAAGTTCAAATTAGTATTGAATTAGGATTCTTGGCTACTGTTAGTTTACATAGTTATCTTTAGATCTCTAAATCAGTTTTTTGTTATGAAGTTTTAGTTTGAGAATAAACTTGAGGTTGAAAACCTAAGTTTTCTTGGTTCCATCTTTAATTTTAGAGGGTTCTTAGTTTCTGTTTGTTCTACCCCTACCTTCCCTGCATCAAGAAGATATAATCGGAAGTATTGACAAATTCTTGCATTATCAAAATACATAATGAAATAAAAAGGATCTACTGTTTCAATTTCATCTTGATTGAATTTTAATATCATATCCCTGGACTCAACTTAATGAAGAGATG